TAATATTATTATTGCAAAGTAGAAATTTGACAAAAGCCACATTTTGTAGTTACTTAAAAACTTTAACTTTGTTAAAAGTTAACAAATATTTTTTTGGGTGGTCTGATATTGGTGCAAATTTTTTGGGTATTCAAAACAATCTGAAGATTCGTGGTACTGTCTGCGTATCCTAGCTGCGTAGTTCTGCGAATAAAGTACAACCAAACTTGTTTTGCGGCTGTTTAACATCTTTTGGCCTATGACCGAAGACCAAAGTTTTATAGTTTCATTTTTGTTTCACAAGTGCAGGATAAGGAGGGAATTTTGTCATTTGTTCACTAGAAGTTGGCATAACAATCATAAGTTTTAGGTGCCCATGTGAGCTCCTTGTTGGAAATTTTGGTTGCCCGTGGGCAAATCATGGCTCTGGCAACCAAGCGCCCATTAGGCAGCTGCCTTGGATTATGAAAGTGGTTCTCAACATCAATTGCACCTTTAAGGTAAACGTACTTGGTACGTGTTCGCCACACTTTCTAACCTTTCGTTACTGCTAGTTTACTATGTAAAATTATGCCCAGGTTGTTGAAAAGCTGGAGAGTGCTATCCACCGGATAAATCACTAAGTATGGGGAAACTAATTGGCTATCCACTGGATAGAGATTTATCCGGTGGATAGTGCTATCCCGCTTTTGAACAACCGAGGCCAGATAACTCCCTATCTAGTAGATATGTAATGGGTAAACAATTACATTATCCACTGGATAAAGTTTTAATTAGTGGATAGCAATATCCACTTTTAGAACTTAAGAGAGTGGCCCCCGGCTACTTTTATTGGAAAATAGAAGAAAAATAGAACCAAAAGAAATCCCTAGCCGTTTGATTCCCCGCCTACTTGTTGTATTTACCCGGCAACTTGAAATCTTAGTGACAACCCTCTATTCCCCCTTTGCCATAATGCAGGTCCATGTCCCTTGTACAACTTATGATAACATCAGTTTTAATGGTTAGGAACAACCTTGTCCTCTAACTTGAGCAAGGGGAGGAGATTTTTCAAACTACACCAGAATGAGCACGATTCAGTCAAGGAGGTCAAAGAAATAGGCAACACACCATGTAACATCGACCTAAGAATTTGCATGTAAAACATATCTTACTACCCACCTTAACCTTAAGTTCCTTTCATCTAAACCTAAGAAGATCCTAAAGGCATTCCCTAAAACTTTTCCCACTCAACTGTAGTCTAATAAATGCTCAGCAAAAAGGACGCCAAAAAACAAAAAAGAAAAGCGAAAGAACTGAGAGGAGAGAAACCAAAAAGTAGAAGTCAAGACTACTCTGTCACTTTTGAAACCAAAAACTACACGTCTCTTAAACATTTTCTTTCTGCATGAGCCCCAACTATGGAAGCTGATATTTTGCATCAGGAACAGAAAGCCTTAAAGTGCTTCACTTTTAAATAATGTTTTGGGCCACTGATGACATCTTCAGCTTTAATGGTTAGAGACAACTTTGTAATCCTACTTATGCAAGGAGAAGGGAGCAGGCAACAAAACTGCATAACATAAAAGGGAGGCAAAGGAGAAAAGAGAGCATGAAAGAAAGATCAAAATAGATTTGCAAAAAAAAAAAGTCCATTAAATTTTGGCTTATGCATATGTTGCGGTTCAATTTTATCCTTGGTTTAAATTTTTGGGGTATGGGTAATGTATGATAATGAGTTTGAAACAAAGGTAAATAAAATTTTAACCAAGGATAAAATGAGCCACAACACATACATGTGCAAAAATTTAAAAAGCTGTTTAGTTACATCTGGTTAGTTGGAAAATATGCCCTTTTTGTTGCAAAACTCAGTGTTCTCCATTTTCATGCTGCAACTGTAATTATTATATAGCCGAAAACCAGTCTAAAAAAGAGGAATAGGAGAAAAATGTGGATTTTTTGCTACTTACTGGCCACCACCAGAGTTAAGGAAATGTTATTACTACGCTTATATCATAGATGACATAGATTTCGCGCCAAAATTAGGGAGTAATTATTACTCCCTAATTTTGGCGCGAAATTTCAGCGTTAATTTGTAATTTCACGTGTGAAATTACTAAATTGCCATGCCAACCTGCCATACGTCTCAGTGTCAAGATGGGAACGAAGTTTTAAAATGTAATGAATGAAGATGTCAGGGCATAAAAAGACGCTTTAGAAAACCTGAACACATGAAAGAGCACATCAAGAAGGATTCTTAGAGGTATGTTGTCGAAAAATTCTGAAAACTTAAGCCCCATTTCAGCTCTAAATGTTTGAGAGAGTGGAGTCACGATCGATCGATGCGATCCAGCATAAATAAGTCAAAATCTTCGATTGCTAACGTAATTCATCACCCATGATATTAATAGGTAATGAAATGGTATACCCGTGAAATTAGGGAATAATTTCACTTGCGTTTTGTCCAAAGCCTAATAATTTCCCTCTTTGGGCAAAACGCGCGTGAAATTATTCCCTAATTTCACTCGTCACCATTTGATTACACATACAAATTACCTTCTCTGTCTTCTTACTACTGGTAGCTTCTTGCTCCAAAACCGTAAGGGCATCTCTGGTAGCCTTAACTATTTCAGCAGGATTCTTCTTGGAGGGGCCAAACAAAGGCATAATGGCGTAGTGAGTGAAGATTGTTCACACCTGTTATAGATACAATGAACAACAAAATCAGTTCAGAGTGAACAGCGTGGTTAATAAGAGTAAACAGCTACTATGAATGAAAAAAAAAAGAAAACTACTACAGTCGAACCTGTATTAAGCGGCACCGTCTTAGGCGGTTAAGCGGTCAGTTTTCAAAGTCACAAAAATTACTTCCCTTGATGTACTGTAATTTCAACCTCTATTAAGCAGTCACGGTCACCATTTGACCTGTGTTAAATGGTCACACGGTGTCAATTACTTGCTCATACAGTTTCAAATAATGTAACACATGACGTACAACGATTGCCTTCTTTGTTTATTTTCACAAATCATTAAAACGCCGGAAATGAATGTTTCTATTTGAGATCAAACGTCTGCTCTGATCAGCACTGGAGATTGAATTCTTTGAACTGTATTTCTTGCAACCTGTATTAGGCGGTGACCTTGTATTAAGCGGTCACTTAACCATTCCCCAGGGGTGACCGCTTAATACAGGTTCGACTGTATAATGTAGTACAACCTATATAACTCGAAATTCCCCACTACCTCAAACTAAGTCCTATTTCCCTTGTATTTCACTCCACTTTTCAGTCATTTCACTTTGTTATCTTGAACTTGGATAACTTGAATTCCCTACTAAGTTGAACAAAATTCCCTTCTTCTTGTTCAAAATTTCACTGAAATTTACCCGACAACTCGAAACTCTGGTTCTTGTAACACCACTTGGATGCCATCTCATTAACCTTCTTGTTGTATAATAATGGTCAAAACACCAAAACTTTAGCTCTGCAGCAATTTGATTTTAATTGGTACAACGAACACTTCATATCTTATCATAAAAAAATGATGCATAATCATGTTAGCACATTTCTTATGAAATAAGTAAATTTGCACTATATACTATACACTAAAGTACTGGAAAATCAATAACTATCAATTATTAACATGGCAAATTGAGCATTCAATCAATCCTGCTAACTCGAATCCCGCTAACTCAAACTGTTTTCCACTTCCTCTCAGAGTTCTACTGTAATATTATTATTGCAAAGTAGAAATTTGACAAAAGCCACATTTTGTAGTTACTTAAAAACTTTAACTTTGTTAAAAGTTAACAAATATTTTTTTGGGTGGTCTGATATTGGTGCAAATTTTTTGGGTATTCAAAACAATCTGAAGATTCGTGGTACTGTCTGCGTATCCTAGCTGCGTAGTTCTGCGAATAAAGTACAACCAAACTTGTTTTGCGGCTGTTTAACATCTTTTGGCCTATGACCGAAGACCAAAGTTTTATAGTTTCATTTTTGTTTCACAAGTGCAGGATAAGGAGGGAATTTTGTCATTTGTTCACTAGAAGTTGGCATAACAATCATAAGTTTTAGGTGCCCATGTGAGCTCCTTGTTGGAAATTTTGGTTGCCCGTGGGCAAATCATGGCTCTGGCAACCAAGCGCCCATTAGGCAGCTGCCTTGGATTATGAAAGTGGTTCTCAACATCAATTGCACCTTTAAGGTAAACGTACTTGGTACGTGTTCGCCACACTTTCTAACCTTTCGTTACTGCTAGTTTACTATGTAAAATTATGCCCAGGTTGTTGAAAAGCTGGAGAGTGCTATCCACCGGATAAATCACTAAGTATGGGGAAACTAATTGGCTATCCACTGGATAGAGATTTATCCGGTGGATAGTGCTATCCCGCTTTTGAACAACCGAGGCCAGATAACTCCCTATCTAGTAGATATGTAATGGGTAAACAATTACATTATCCACTGGATAAAGTTTTAATTAGTGGATAGCAATATCCACTTTTAGAACAACTGGGACGAGATCATGCAAACTACATGTAGATGATAAGTCTTTTAGAAGTAAGATTAAGCTTTTGATAAACGCATCATTGAAAATAAATCGTGTGCTCGCCACAGAGTTATCAAGTTAGGGCGAGAACAACGTACATGTAAAGTAAAATGTACTAGAATGTACTAAAGAAGACTTGGATCGTGTAGCTGATACAGCGATAGCTTTGAAAACACTACCATTCAAAGCTAAGCGGCTTCGCGCAGAGGCTCATGGCTAGCCCGTAAAGAATGCGAAATTCGGAGGTGACTACGATATTGTACAAGTAGATAATCTTACCCAAACCTCTAAAAATCTCTCCTGAGATCTTCCAAAGTAATAAAGTGAGAAGATATACACAAATAAGCCCCGAAAAGTGACTTTCTTTACCACATTCTTAGTGTGAACGCCTCTAAACGGAAACAATCAAACGAACAAATCGTTCCAGTTTGCTCGCACCAACGACCTCATTATGTCATTTTAGGTTCCTTGTACATGAAGTGATTGTTGGCAAAATGGCGGGCTTCACGCTCGAGGAAAATTTTGTGTCAATCGTTAGTCTGTCTTTTACTTTTTTGGAAGCTTTAGTGGCGATAGTTTTTGCATTTGTCGTTTGTCGAAAGCTACCATCATTGGAGAAATGGATAATTACGTGGCTAGTTTATGATGTGCTGACCCATTTTACGCTGGTAGGGTGGTATATGGTGTCACCTTCGTCGACTGGAGGGTTCGATTTTTCATTCGCACCCCTACCCCTTACTTAAGATTGCTCTAATCCGAACCATCAATTTTTTCCGGCGCCCTTTGAAAAATGAAATCCAGAAGGGTTAATTTTTCGTCGGCAACTTTGAAAAGATATCCTAAGGGTCCAGATCCTTGCAGAAAAAAAATCGAGGGGGTGTGGGTAAAAAATGGAATGTCCCAGCAGGTGGTGCAAAGATCTGATCGGAAAACAGCAGACTGAATCGTAAAAATTCGTATACTTAAAAGCAGTTTACTTCAATCTCTATTAATGCCTCTTGATCCTGTATAGACTAATTCTCTCCTTGTTTTGCAAGAAAATGCGAGCCTATTAGTAAGGAGAATCTAGTAATTTATCAAAAGTGATCATTTAGGGTGGGTGTTGTGCACGGGAATTAAAATCTAAATTTCACGGTTAACGGTAATTAAAACAGACTTTTTACAAATCACGCAAACTTTAGCGTTTGATTTTATTTGTCGCCCATATAGTATTGCAAAACTGAGGTGTCGACTATAATTTTTGAGTTATGCATACACAAGAAATAATTGTTTTCACGTCCTAAAATACTAAATTTACACAGGGCTCCTGATTTACAATAATTCACAACTGCATGCCGTACTCTACACAAGCAGAACTGGTTACACTTTATTTTTGCAATCCTTTAGTGTAGTGCATATGTGCAAGAACAATATCCAGTACTTTTATAGGTCTCATAGGGCAGTGACACAGACTACACAATACACTGTTCACTCTTGTGGCCAGACAACTCTGATCATTCGACCTCTACTTGTCTGTATGCCACAGAGAAAGGTCATTTCATCTTCATCATTCCTCAGGTCTTCCCTGACATAAGAATCTGTGTAATATTCTTGCACTTCTTTGGAGTCATCCTGTTGATCATGTGGCTGCATGTCAGAAGCTGTAGTTTCTATATCATCTGGAAAATGTTGAGTAGGGGAAACTACTTTTTCTGCTGGTGTATATGAGGAATGGTACATAATGAGAGGAAGTGTCGCGGCCTTAAACTTGACTTGACCTTGATATATCAAGTTCCTTGAAAGTTTACATTGAAATTATATTTCACGAAAAAAATTAGCTAATTATAGACCATGGTCACGAATGTCAAGAAATAAATTAGTTATTTCATGAATCACGGGATTACTTTTGTTCACGCATCACGGAAATTCTTTCGTTCATGATTCACGGCGATTAAAAATAGGCGTTCACGGTTCACGGTAAAACCCCTTTCCGACCCTCTCTTTAGTAGCTCCTGATGATAGTCAATAATCAAAAGTGCAATTTTTTTTTTCAGGAAGGACCTTTTGTTTATTTCTCACTTGTTGGTTCTGTCAATAATACAAACCACATCTTAGCTGAAGTGTGTAAGTGAAGAAATAAAAAAAACCCAAAGCATTAAAATTTTCCTTATGATATCAGTGTACTTGGTGTGTTCAATAAAAAGGACACAAAGATTTGTTTGGCTGAATATGAGATGAGATGATTGAAGGGATCCCTGTCTAGATTCTTCGATATAATTTGCTTAAAGGCATTAGAAGGGATAGAATACTAATGGTATGCGTGAGAGCATTATCGAGTGCATGCACTAGGGACGGGGGGGGGGGGGTACTTTAGGATTTTTTGGGTGAGGATGTGCCTCCAGGACCCTGGAACCCTTAGCCTATACCAGAGCTAGTTCAGCTGAATTTTGCTATCCTGTACTGGACTAAACTTCCCAAATTCCCCCTATCCTAAAGTAGCAGTTTTCCAGAAACTACTGAGGTCACTAGCATATAGTCCAGCCAAAGCAAAACCGATTTGACTTTTTTAAATATATTTTTGAGTGGCAATTCCCAGTCTCATTAGTCTAGACTAAGATCTACAACCAATTTATTATTGATTTATTGATACCCAATTCTAGACCCAAACTCTCTGATTTATTTACCCCATCCCATAGTAAACTGCTTGAAAACCATACCCTTCACAGCGGTACATACTTAAAAAGCCCATATGAGGCAGTACCCCCCTGGGACTAAGACATATATAAATAACTCTGCGAAGACTTTTCTAAAAAAACATTCTATTCAATAAGTAGTTTTCCATAGCACTGGGGATTGTAAAACCTTTTATCTCTTTATAATTGGACTTCTAGTTCATTTTTGTGAAACAAGCAAAATTATAAGTATGTGAAATTTTGTTTACTGAAGCCAAGAAAGTGTTACTTAACATTTTTTCAGTAAGCAAAAGCCTAATTTGTTTCCACTTTCAACACACTATTGAATTTATATGGCGATTCACAAAACTATTTTTGTCTAACGACCTGTTCAGTTGATCGCCACAGTATTCAAGATTTTAAATACTGTGAATCGAACTCAGAAAAACGTGGACACCTGAAAAATTCCAGGAATGTTGATTGTGTACTGGCCAATCACAATAAAGTTCAGGATACGCAAGCAAACCTCAAAACCGCAAATTAATTACCTTTGCTGTTTGCAGTTTTGCTATCTGGTGCCTCATTGGCTTATTTCTCGCAACACGATAACATTCCATAAATATTTCTGGTGTTCACAGTTTCATGAGTTTCACAGTAATAGTGCGTTGAAAGTGGAAACAAATTAGGTTTTTTTCTTTTGCTTACTGAAATAAAGCAAAATCATAGCATTAGATGAAGAATCACTTTTTAATTGTCAATCCATGGATGCTTTCAATAGTTTCTTAATCTCTACTACATGGTTTTCAGGGAAAGAATATGGCAAGGCAGATTCAAGGTGGCTTTATTCAGACCCAACAATTGTTTCTTTAGAGATTCTTACAGTTGTTATCACAGGACCTCTTGCCCTGATGTTAATTTATGCCATTTACTTCAACAAACATTACAGGTAAAATATTGCTTTGATTTTATGTCATTGCCAAGGCTATGTCTCAGGAAAATTGAAGGGCTGTGGGGCTGTCATTAGAAGCTGGCATTTTTGCTGGCTACTGCAGTAAAATCAGCCTGCTACTTTCAGTTTGAAAATGAATGAAAAATAACAAATATAGGAGCATCTGAATTGAAATACCGTAAAATTCTGAAAACATATTTTTCAAAGGCCCTTTTTGAGGGGCTTATTTTGGGAGAGGCTTATATTCGGAGGAGCCTATCTACGGAGGGAAATTTGCATTTCAAAATCTATTGGGCTTGCCTTCAAGTTGGAAGTAAATTTATCGTTTTTGCTTTGTTTTACTTTGCATTTGAGGGCAATTTTCTAAGAACAAGTCCCTGAGGGGAGGGGGGCTTATATTTGGAGGGGCGATGTCATGGAGGGTTTTTTACGTTACTGGTTTGGGGGCTTATATTTGGAGGGGCTTATTTTTGGAATTTTACAGTATATGAAATGAATCATATTTTGAACTGGTGAAAAAGCAGTCAAGCCGGAATTTTTTCAGGTCCTTTTTCAACCACTTGGTTTGTTCATTCAACTGCGAAGATCATGTTCACTTTCATAGGAGGATTTTTGGCATAAATGACTAGCTACTTAATTCCCTGAGAGACCAGCCACTTTAAAACCTTAATGAAACCCTTGAGAGCTGCTTGACACTGAAATGCAAAATTAAATATAATTTATTCATGCTAATAGACCAATTTCAATATTATTATAATTCAGACTTGGCATCAAGGCTTTGGGGAACAAAACAAAAGAAATGATCTTGAGGCTTAGCAATGAATAATACTAACATTAATTTCTTTTGTTCAGGGTTCCTACAGATTTTTTGATCCAAAATTCAAAACTTTTTCCAGCCTTTTTTCCAAAACAATAATTTCTTTTTCCAGACTAGGTGATCAATAGAGACCTTTAAAAATGCAGGAATAAAGCTCCTTTCATCATACAGTTGAGACTGAATAAGATTTGACCAAAACAAAACAAAAAATCACTTATAAATTTGTTGTAGCTTTGAAAAAAAAAAAAAAACTCAAGACTTTTTACCATTTTCCAGACTTTATTTCCATTTTCCAGACTTTTCAAGACTTTTTCAAGAATTCAAGACTCTGTTAGAACCCTGTTTATTTTATTCCCCCCAGCAGAGCCAAGTATGAAATTTAACATATCGAAATAAACGGTTTATTCTCTGTGTTATTTCAACAGGCATTTTGTGCAGATAACACTATGTGTTTGTGAGCTGTATGGAGGTATGACTGCATTATGCTATTTATCATTTGCCCTCTTAATGGAAGTAGGTGTTATTGAAAGAAAAGTGTTTTCAAGTGCTTTGAAATAATGATTATTTCTTGGTTAAATTGTTGAACGTTAAACCCTAAACCATTGATGTTGCACCTCCCCTGAAAACTTGTAAGGTCACAACCAATATAATCAGATGTTCAGATTATTGTATTGTTGATTAGCAATATTCACTAAAAAAGGGAAATTATTAGGGACATCCATGACCATGGGTCACTGCAGTCCATGGACAGTTGTTAGGTGGGTTTTGAGTAATTATGTACCATTTATTGGCCTGCGTTACAAACAAAATTAAAGTTCTGGTCAAATTAGCCTGTGAAAACATTCGTTTCTCCGCACCCTTCGCCGCTGGGATGTTTCACATGGAGGAACGTCTGCGACTCAGCGACAGAAATTCCATACTGATGATGCAAATCAATGTTTACATAATAAATCTGGTAGTCATGGGGTTCCAAATATAAATTTGTCCATTTAACGAGTGTTATGGTCGATTTTGGTAAAGTGTTGTGTTCATCTGCCAACAAGCTCCAGTAAAACTCAAAAGCTTCTTCTAGAAAAGACTATATTCCACAAATATTGACTGTTTTGCCGGAGATTGTTCGCGTTTACATTTGAACCTTGTGGCCTTTTATCTTTCATTCGTAAACAATAGCTAAAACAATGTAACTACTCCATTGACCAATCAGCGCTTCTGACCGGATTCTGGACAGATTTTACGTCATCAGTATGGAATTTCTGTTGCTGAGTCGCAGATGTTCCTCTACGCGAAACGTCCCCACCCCCACCCCCCTTGAGTATGCACCATGGCCAGCCTGTTAAAAAAGCCAATCTCGATTTACTAATCTGTTTAAAGGGAAATATGAAATGCACTTTTGGAAATTTGAGTCCTTTGGGGGCCAGAGCAAGGATCTTGGCACTGCCTTGCAGACATTGCTAGCCCAGATAGATAACATCCGTGAAGGCTAGTGCCACATAGGTCTCCAAATTGTTTAAGAAAACAAAATTGCATTCGAAGTGCAAATACTTTATATTTTTAGCTATGTTGATTGGAAATTCTTTGTCCCAAAGTTGCTTTTGAATATTTTTGTGATAAAACAATAATTGTTTTATCTAAAACAGAATAAGTTATTTATTCTGTTTTAAATATGAATATCTTTAAACAGGCTGGATGACATTTTGTCCTGAATGGCTAGTTGGAAGCCCAAGCTTGGATACAAGTTTTCCTCTTTACCTCTGGTTATATTTAGTATTTTTCAACGGCCTCTGGGTTATATTTCCTCTTCTGTTACTATGGCACTCTTGGAAAGAGCTGAAAGTAAAGCACAAGTCTATGACAACAACCACCACAACCTCTAAAAAGAAGAAAAAATAAACCACAGAAGAAACATTGAACTCAATGGTCATCAGAAAAATACTGTACTAAAAAACCAATGTCAGTGAAACTCTAAATTGGTTAAATCTAAAGTTAATTACCTTTGTATTATACATAACCACCAATGAAATACCAGGCGAGCTTTAGCACTAAAACATGATATCTTCACAGGAGAAAATAACATGTTATTTGGTCAAAGTTATCTTCACCTCCAAAATTCGTTTTGTAAAATAATATGTGGCAATCAGATTCTTTTCATTTTTCAGTAACTTAAAAGAAGTATAAATTATACAGTTAAACCTCCAGCACATAACCAGCTTTAAAGAAGTAATCATTATATAATTTGTCACTAAATGATTAAATCAAGAACAGTAAGTGTTATTAATTGTGGCCAGCAGGCCATCAATGTCATCTATAGCTTTGTTATTCTGGTCCAGCACTTTCTTGATCATAGCATCCCTTTCAGCTGGGGAACCCAAAATGTTGAGAGATGCCTCCATCTCTTCAAGTTCCTATTACAAAATTAGAGAGAAAAAGAGAAAATAATTATTACATCATAATATATACAAGGTAATTTTAGCAGTCATGTAGACAGTGTTAGGCAACAAATTAAAACAGGTGATGAAAAACAAAGCATTGAGTTTGTTGTGTGTGTTTTCCATCTAGAAATCCTTTTTTAAGATCCTTATTGAATGAGTAAGGTCTTGAAGAGATCCTACAATAATGTAAACGCAAAAAACTAAGTAAGACTAAGGGTAAGATGCGACACAGATCTCATTGAAGAGTCTGTAGTTCTCCTCTTTGAACTTATTTTTAAAACTTTTAGAAATAGAATCACACATTTCAAAGTAGCTTTCTTAACATAGATTTTCATCTGAGTTGTTCAATACTGGAAAAAGCCCTTGACAATGCTACTTGCCACAGTAGATGATTAAGTATGACTTGAAAACATTTTGCTTTCTGATTTTCTAAGGATGACTTAGTGGCTGTGTAATTTTGGTTAAACTTCCCTTATTTGTTCATTGTTTAGTTCTATACGCTGTAAGGCTGTCAAGGTTCTGCATGTTTATAGAACACAAGATAGCATATCAATATAATAATAAATTTATTATTGATAAAGCTGAAGTAACTTTCCAGCTACGTGCATATGGCATGAAATGGGCAAGTTGACACAATTACTCACATAAGTGTACGTGAAATACCTTTGTAGAGTTTGTGCTGTCCTTTGTCATTTTTAGGGTTTCATTTACAGCGCTTTGTTGATCATGAATGTCTGATCAGGCAAAAACTGTGTCAAGGATTTGAAACATAACAGAGGACAGAACAGAGAGAAACAATAGGAGCATGAGAGTTAATGCTTTCTCGTAGATTTAGGGTTAGGTTCAAGATTTTTTTGGGCCATAGGAAGAGGAAGTGCACTGTACATGGGGTATATGAAGGGGTTACATGGCCAATTAAGGACCCACTCCCCTAAATCAACCCATGTAGTTAAGGTAAAAATTATACCAAAGGATACAGTTAAATCGTTTTATCTTGTCAATTTCAAGACTCATAGCCCTGTTTATCCAGAAAGTGGAAGAGTTAGAATGTTAACTTCTTATTCGAGTTTTACAGACCAGTGCCTTTTTATTCCTGACTGGTCAATTTGCAACGTAAGAAGAATTGGTGTCAATATATTTTTTCTAATAACAGTCAGCATACGTGATAATAGCTGCAAAGTAAGTTTAAACTAAACTCCATGAATTTTATCGGGAATACCTCAGTAGTCTATGTAAAACCAAGCCCTTCCCCCTCCCCCCCCCCCCCCCCCCCCCCCA